ATCTGGAAAATACAGTGTTTGTTTGTTGTTGGAAAATTTCATCTAGAGGATCTTTGTATATTTTCCTCAAACTACTGTTGCAACTGGCTGCTTTTGCAAGTCCTAAAGCCTTCCTCGCACTGGTGTGCGTCTTCTTTGCTCTCCCTTAATTGTCTGCAAACCTTCTCTACTTCTTACGTGCTTTTGGTGGCTTAGCATACTTGCATCCCAATCTTATCTCATTTGTTTTCATTTTTATAGTTCATCTACTTACTATTACTGTGTGAGGAGCTATTTTATGAGGAAGCCTGGAAGGCTTTACTAACCCAAAACCTGCCAAGAGAGGTGTAGGTGTCTGGTGCTATGAATGCGCTTTCACATCTAGCTTCTGGTTCAAACACATTGTGGGAAAATTACAGTTCTGTCTTTTTGGCTTTCTTCCAACAGTTTTAGGAAAACTATGTAGTTAAAAAGTTGTGTGGGAGCAGAAATTGTTCCGTTCAATCCACTTCTGTAAAAGCTCCAAGTTTTCTAACACAGCATAGTGACCTACCTTTCTCTGCATAAGCACAATGTTAGGGAAAAGTAACCTTCTTTCCCTCTTAAAAACAACCTTGAACTCTAGAATTTTTTTTTTCCTGGCCTGTTTTATTTTTCTTAATTAGCAGCTGATGAAATCACCATGTAGTTCTATAATTATTTATCACCTGGGGGAGATCCCACTTCACAATGAAGGTATCTTAAGGAATATCTGACCTTCCTGTATTTTCAGGTATGATATTTTTTTTTTTATTGTCCCTGATTCTCTTCCGTGCAGTATTACATGGCACATGATAGCATGGCAAATAGGAAAGAGGCTCCTGGACTCTATAAGCCCTTTGACCTAGCAAGTGGAAAGAAATTTTCCTCTCCAAAGATAATAAACTGTTTTCATGTTGGTCAAATAGGCAGAAGGAGGAAGAAAAGTTTCTTTACTGGTAATCATTGATTCCACATCATTCTGTTAGAAATTTTCTGCTGTTTGCACACATTTTCCTTCTGATGCCTGAGTGTATTTTCTGCAGCATATTGCCTTTTTCTAAAATTCATCTGATGCATGCATTGCATAACTTTGGCTTATATCATAACCAAGGATCTTTGTGCTGCTCCACTAGTTACAACTGATTAACATCTCTTTATCTGATGCTGCCAGCCTAGCCGTAGGCATGTTAGGCCTTGACGGGAAGAAAAGGTAGGATACAAGACTTAACCTCACCTACAGATTTTTCCTCAAAAGAGTTCCATGACTTACTGAAAACTCTTTGCTCTAATCCTAAATGCTTTCAATTTTTTTAAAAGGAAAATACATTGTGCTAAATTCACAGGCTAGGAAAACTTACAGAAAGAAAAGGATCTTATGAATAAATGGTATCTTCCTTCAGAATAACTGAAGATGTAAAAAGTAATCAATTAAAACGTAACTGGAAACGTGACTGTACTCTTTTTCTATTGCAATAGCACTTCTGCTTGTCATAGAGACCCTTAGTATTATATCCCCGTATAAGTCCATAGAAAGAAACAATCTTTGTCATGCTAAGCTTTCATCCTAAAATGATCTTAACAGGTGAGAGGCGGGAAGAAGCGGAATGATCAGTGTGGTACAATTGGCACAAACTGTTAATCCTTTCTGTTTCAAGCAAAATCTACCATCCTAACTTGCAATTTATTATATAAAAAAATATTGCCTGTATTTCCTTTTTGAAAGTTGTAAAAGCGCTTGACCCTGTCCATTGTTATTTAGCCAAGGAAGCATGGAAGAACTGGAAAAAAAAAAAGGATCTGTTAAATAGCTTTCTAATATAGGAAGTGCTGGCTAATCCTTATAAGAACCAGCAAGGAAGCTAAGTATTATTAGCTCCAACCTGAAAAAGAGGCAGGGGTTACCAAACTTACACATAGATAGGTAGTAGGGACTGGGGCAGGTATTTGTGAGATATGTCTTTCAAGCATTCACTGAAGACCCAACATAAATTTTTTCTTCCTTTCCCTCCACTCTATCTCATTACGGGTGGTAGATAAAGCATATCTTTGCCATTAGTTCTGTTCATTTATCAACCTCTGAAAACAGTTTTCTACTGCATTTATTTTCAGGATTTGCTTAATCCACCTCTGATACAAATTTACAGAAATAAACCGGGTTTCTTCTTGTACTAGTTCAAGAATTAGAAAAGCCTCTAATATTTAAAAATTAAACACAGTTTCAAATTTAGCGTCAAACTTACATACTACTCGTTAATGAACTGCAATCAACCCCTTTGCTATCAGGCACAGAGAGCAGATAGCAGAAATAGCAAGTCATGCCAGCATGTTTCTTGAATTGCTCTCTGAGGAAAAGAAAGAAGAGTAGAAGCACTGTCAGTTTAATTATGGTTCTCTCCAGTGTTAAACTTTGCAATTTTGTTTTTAGGTCAAATAATTGGCTTGGCAGCAAACACTGGAATAAACAGGATAAAATCCTGTTCTGTTGAAATACAGCTTATATAAAAAATTACCAGATAAATTTGTATATACTTTAGATGCTTGAAAGGGTTAAAAGTTAGCGCTAAAAAAGAAAGATATTCAAAAAAAGAAACAATAGCTCTAGTACAGAATAATGCAAAATGAAAAATAGAACTAAATACTTTGAGCTGCAGGAAAACCTGAGTTCTGGAAAGATTTAGACCGGAAACCATAGTTAGCATAATAAGCATATGTTGTGTTATGGTGCTTTTAAAAATTATGGGGCTTGGGTGGCATATTGACTAGACAAAATTCCCAGTGAGAATGAGTCATTCCATATTTGTTCCTGAAATAACTACATTAAGAATAAGGTGCTTTCTTCTAGTTTTCTCCATACCTGAAAGCTGTTAGTAAATTGGAGGGCAAACTGGAACCCTAACTGGTCTTAACAAAGTCAACTTTTCTTGCCTTAAGGTTAACATACTTAATAAAAGTCAGTTAATGTCTATAGCTTATATTTGATTACTCAACTTTCATGCCACGTCAAGATTTTTTTGTTCTACTTCTTATTACTGAGCATGCGTTCCATGGACAGAGCCCATGAATATAATAGAACAATTTTCCTTGATTTTAGGGTGTAGTCAGGTTGACCTCTCTGAATTCACCACTCAGTGCTTGCAGCAGCACCAGTGGCACAAAGGATCATCTCCTGTCTCTCTGTACTTATTTGGGCAAATAGCTGAGAACCAAGTGGCTGCTTTGTTGTAGAGACATGCCTAAAAGTCTTAGATCTAGCAGTTCCAGACACACTACCAAATAGTTTCAACCTTAAATAACTAACTAAACCAAAGCCCTCCCTAAGTATATAAAATACACTTAGTAAATTAAACTATAAATATACAGTATCACAGCTGATAGGATTTCCTTCGATAGAACTATTCTGTCGGTTTAGACAATGTATCTATGGCTTAATACAGTTCTTTACTCCACAAGGGGTCTAAAACAGTAAATTTTGAGTAGGCCAGAGGTGACAAACATTTCAACAATCATCTGAAGGCAAGAGAAGCAAAGAATTATAACTGACCCCTACTCTAAGAGAGTCACAGTTGAAAGAGGGCTGAAAATGTAGATAGCAACATACTGCTGATTAGGGAACAATATTTTGTGTACTTACATTAATAGCACATTCCGCTGCAAATCATCTCACTAGTTTTGTGGTGGTGCTAATCAGCGTAACTGGAGATAACAGGTTTTCGTGCTTAGTAATTTCTTGTGTATTGGATAAGTATCCACCACTCCTACTTAGTGGTGGTCCACCATATGCCTTTAGAATCCTTGTGCCTTTTTTACAGACTGAAAGCATGAGATCTGTTTTCACATGTCTTCATATTATTTGGGTTCCTAAATTAATGCAACTGTTTAGAAAATCCTCCATACAGAGCTTCATCTCTAAGCCTCATGGCTCCAGATGGGAGGCATCAGACTGCAGGGATCATGTTCTTAATATGCAAGAGCTTAAAATATTGAAAACTTTTTAAAAATTCTAAATTTTTAATGCTTGAAAAACCCATCATTTTCCAGCAATCCAAGCTGCTTTCTGGAATCCAATGCCAAGCTCAGTACATTTTCTTTGACAATGAACATAAAAGACCTACAGTACTGAAAGCAACAGATCTAAAATGTTGCTTAATTAGTGTTTGGGAGGCTTAGGGCTATTTCGTATCTGTTACATTTAATGTTCCAACAAGAACAAAGGCATACATAGTTGGTGTTACTAGTGTTCTGGGCAGTAACTGACTACTGGCAAATAACAACCCTGAAACTCTCAGAAATGATAGTGCATGGCCTTCCCTTCGGCAGCATCATTTCCCATTCAAGAATACTCTTGATGGCTGTACTCAAGGGTGGGAAACAGGAGATGACCTTTGACAACTGCAGCAGTTTCTTTCTGTGGGACAACATTCATTCTGTACACAAGGTTTCCTCTTGTGGAGCTCTTGGTATGCTTTCAGCTCTATTTATGAAGGGTTACACCAAAAAGGGAACTACTAGGTGGTTTATGACGAGATTGCTGCTACAGATTTGGTACCTACTGTGATTTGTGTCACCCATTTGAGCCTCAGCCATAAAGCTGCACTTTTTATCAAGAATATTTGTGAATATATAACAGCTCTGAAGACATATGGCCAATAAATAATTCAAAGTTATCTATCTTCCCTGCAGTTTTCATATACACCTACCACCTTTTAATGTTTAGCTGGCCTGGAAACAATATTCTTTATGGCACTTCTAGTATAAAAATGTTTACTGACTGGCAGTAGACTATTGATTTCCAGTATGATACCTTGAAATAAAACATTTCCCCCCTGAGCCTCCACCTGCTTTGCTCTCCCATCTGCTCTCAGCCCGGAGAAGCCTTGTTTTGCATTTTGAGACCCTAAAAATGTCCATTTTCAATTATTGATTCCAATATCATAAGAATGTGATTGAATTCATTAATCTGTTTTCTCTTCCTCTCCCCCATCCCTTTGTTTTCTTTTCAGCTCTATATCCATTTACAGTCCTAAGGAGAATCCTAATGCATTTGATGCTGCTGCTTTCTTCCAGTCAGTGGGAAATTTCCTGGGGATCTTTGCTGGATCATTTGCCATGGGATCCTCTTACGCTGTTGTCACAGCTTTAATATCCTTTATGGTTTGTTTTCAGGGAGAAAATCTACATATGTTGGAAAAAATATGTGTTATCTGAGACTGACCATGTTTAGTTTGAGCCTGAATGTTTTCACTATTGATTGGAGACTTTCCAAAGAAATAGTCAAACTATAAACTGACAGGAAATTTAACTTGTCAGAATCCACAAAGAACTTAATATGCAAACTTCTTTTTAAAATTATGCAAGACTCTAGTCTTTGTTTTACTATTTGTAAATAATTATATTTTTAGGAAAGTGTTTTGAGGTATTTTGAGGTTAAAACATGGATTTATGAACTACAACAACTTATTTATGAACTACAGAGTAGCAGCAATTATACAAAATACAAAGAAAACACTAGACTACAAATCAAGTCAGTCGACTTACCTAAACTAGAAATAAAATGCATATCTGTTGTCCTGCACTTTTTCTTGTGTTTTACAGTTCTTTGTGTAAAATACTACTGTAGAAAGAGCAGCAATTATCATCTTTCTTGCATTGATGCAAGTGTAAACAAATGCCAGTTTATTTACCAAACTGGACAAATTACTTTCTTTTTCCTTTTTCTGGGAAAAGAATATAAAATGTGACCAATTAGGCTTTAGTTCAAAAACCGCAAAAGTACTTGAAATAGCAGACTTGTAGAATTCACCTGTTTAAAACCTATGCTGGATTTCCCTCCTTCTTTGAGATAATTTGGAAGCTGTGCTGTTTTTCCTGAATTCAACTTGTGTATATGACTATGGTGGGGGAGCTTTCTTTCTCTCATTCTTTATTAGGTTGGGGGCAATTTTAGCTTACAAAACAGTTGGTTTTTTATTTTTCCTTAGTAATCTTTTAGCACTTGACAAAATTTACAAAGCTGTGTGAGTTCCCTATGTTGGAGACTGGTCTGTTTTTCCTCCTATCCTGGAGTGCCTTCTTATCAGCAGAAGCTGCTGGTCTTACAGGTAAGTGTTGTGTTTTATTGAATAAAAGTGGTTTTATAATATGCCTCGAATGTGGGAAAATGGCATGTTTATATTGGGCATGGCATCATATATAGAGCTTCTAAAAGCCAGTTGCTATAATTGGAAACGGTTTCATCTTTAGGAATAAATGTGTAGAGACACTGAATAGTTCTTACAGACAAAGACTTACTAGATCAGGTTCAAGTCTTCAGGCTTTCTTGCCTACCTTCCTTACGTTGTCCCATCCTTCTTAGACCCACTATTAATCCCACTATTTTCTGCCTAGCTATAGGACCAAAGATGACGGTGAGTATGAGGAAGCAAATATACAGTGCCATGTGACTGTCAGAGACTGTGCTCCTCTGCATGCACTGCACGTGCTGGTCCCTCCTCCTTTTTCCCAACTATCAATGACTAAACAGAGGACAGGAACATCCCCAGCTTTACTAGTGGGCTGCAGCCACCCCTGAAATTAAAAAAAAAAAAAAATTCCTCTTGTTCAGTGCTCCTTGGTAAACAGCTTTTGCAACAGCAGAGGTATAGTCATGTCCGGTGACAGGTAGAAAGACATCTGATCTGATTGTTTTTTCATTAACACTGAGAAAGAAATTGTGCAATCATAGTCAAGTACATACTTGGGGATGGTGTTTTACAACATAAAAAGACCACAGAAGTTTAGGCAAAAAACATAAACAGTTATAGTTTACCTAGACAGCAACCTATTGTATCGGGTGATTTGAAAGAATAAGTTTGTAGGAGCCCAATTTTTTTAATGTTCTTGATGCTGTCACCTCTGAAATCTAGTCCAATTAAGATCAGGGCAAGAAAACTGCTTAACAGAGTGTTAAGCAGCTCACTGTTTTGTTTGCAAAATTATTCAAAGCCTTTTGAAGTCAACAGTTATATTTCTACTGGCTTCTATGAAGCCAGAATGTTATTTTTTTATTATTAGCTACACAATCAAAGTATTTCAGAATGGGTATTAACATCTGCATCCTCTCACATCTTTGCCTTATTAAATATACAATTTTTTGTCAAAATCATCAGGCCAATTACTAAAAAGAGGGGCACATGAACTGAACGAAAGGGTGGTATTCCATCACATGGAGAAGATCAGATTCCAGCTGGGATAAAAGTCCATTTTATGTCCTTATGCTTAGCGTTTCTTAAAAACGTGACATGATTACTACATAAAAATGGAAGCAAAGAGGGATGATTGTTAATGACTTGCCTCCTACTGGAGTAGCGTTTCTTAAAAACGTGACATGGTTACTACATAAAAATGGAAGCAAAGAAGGATGATTGTTAATGACTTGCCTCCTACTGGAGGTAATGATTTCCTAATCCAATGACTTCCAAGGAAAAACTTTTAATACATATTCCTAGCTGAGAACAAGGATGCTATGTTTCAGCAAATGCACAGTTGACAAATTATACATTATACCCAGAAAGTGGATTTGTAACGGAAACACTAATATCTTTCAAAGCCTCAGGTGCTGCACCAAAGGTAATTTACATTTCTTGGGCATAGGAAAAGACTGTATGTCCGGACAAAAAGTAATTGGCATATGTCTTTTTTGCACACTGCAAATGTGATGACAGGCAACACAGTCTCTCCTGGTAGTCACTCTGAAGAATGTTTTGTTTCATTTCTCTTTTGCTATATATAGCTGAAATAAAAGACTTAATTGTTGAACATCACAGATGGTTTTTGCTATGGTAAGGTAGCCATGGCAGAGGAATTTTAAATGGGCAGAGGGAGAGCCAGAGAAAAAGAGTGGAACCAAAGTTCCAATTTAAGAGAAAAAATAGAAAATTATTGGGAAATTTAACTTTCATATAAAGGAATTGATGTAGGCATATAAAAGATAATTGCTCTGCCAATACAAAAATTCCAAGGAAAACATATTAAGCCCTTTTAGGTCTGTCACTAGCCATTTTTTCATGGGTGTGTTCTGAGTTTCAGGTGGAAATGGTTTAATCACACTGTTGTGAGGCGGCAAAGTTTAATCTTGAAAGTTCTGTCAGTTGAGCCTTTGTCATTTAGTTTCTGTGGAAGGCTTTTGTCAGAAGCTGTTAGGATGGAAAAAACTCATGGAGCCTTTCTTGTAGCTTCAGAAGCTGAAAGCTGTATTTTGTAAATGCATTCACTTTATTAATACTGTGCTAACATTACACTTTAGAGTAGGTATTTTTAGTTGTCTGGTATAGCCAGTTTTGATGTTGCTGTCATCTTCCCTCAGTCTCATCTGAAATAGCTGCAACTCCCCTCCTTTCATAATATGACTTTAAACTTCCAGTTCAGCGGGAAAATTACTGTATTGGTTAAGAAATTTCCAGCTGACTTAGGTTCTGTTGGAGGTATAGATTTCAGAGGTGGCTCTGATTTCTCATACCCATGCTAAGGAAATCTGTGTAAAATGCAGTTATTTTGTGCAGTCTCCCACACAGGTATGTTTTATATGAAGCACCTGTTGCAGAAAGCACAGGAAGCCCAGGGGAAAGCCGGTCATCCTTCAGAACACACTCAGCTCTTAATCCATGCCCTATCATTTCCAGTCTTTTCCAGCTTACTTGCTTCGTCCTTTGTCTTACTTAATGCATACAACATCGGGTTTTACAGTCAAGTGTGTCTATCCCCAAAAGCAATCATTAGAATTAAGAGAGCATCATAACCGTGCGATGACACTGCTGGGCCACTCCATTCAATGAATTAAATTCCTAGTTTGAAATCTTTGACTTTGGTAGACGTGCTTCAAAAATTAACTCTATCTATTGTACATTTATGACTATATTTATTTTCCTTGGATATCGTGTTTCTTCTGTTCATTCCTTCTAAATGAACTTCAAAGGATTAATACTAGACATCAGCATTTCCCTGTAGCTATTAAGTAATGTAACTGCAAAATAATTTTATTCTTGTAATGCTTTCCACACTAGTTCTTCAATCACTAAGAGTCTTTGAAGTCTAATATTGAAGTATGTCATAATTTATAAATAATGCGCTACACTGTTTTTCGTGTGGGTGTGGGTGTAGCAGGTCATAGAGCTGACTTGTTTTACTTACAGATTTTTTAAATAAAATGTGACTCGAGAGTACCATAGGTCAATGTTTTATAAAATATTTTATTCCTCTACCTCAAGATATCCCAGGATATATAACAATATATGGGTCTGACCCTGGTTGAAAAATGGATGTTATCAAACCAGGAAATCAAAATGAAAATCTAGGATGACTACACAATTATTGTTATACTGATTACTCTGATTACTGTAAATTATAAATTAATGTTATGGCTATTAATCTTATAGCTATATCATCAAACTGTGACATATGCATGATAAATTAATTCTTATACAGTAGAATCTAATTTGTGTGCACTTTCTGATTTGCCCTGAAGTATATCATTCCTGACTGCTGAGCAAAGTTGTAATAACAGAGTACTGTTTGTTGTAAGGTCAGTGTTATTATAGTTGCTTTCATTTTCAAACTTCATTACAGAATATTTACTAGTAGGCTATGAAAAAAATCATAAATAATTTAAATTAAACACTTGTCAAAATAGATGAGGAAAGTACATCTTGCATTTATTGCTTGTTATCTTGCCTTATAATTAACAAAATTTGCCAATTTTTAACCGATCGCTCAGTCATTAGCCTGTGAAACTTTCCATGATGTACATAGGCATTTAATGTTCACCTCAGAACCTCTCTATCTACAGCTGTTTGAACTAAGCAGATATTCAAATAAAAAGAGATTAATCCACCTGCAAAAAATGCACTCAAATATATGTATGTGAATTTATTTGCATTTATATATTCAATTAATGCATACTTCAAAGTCATATGAATTTATCAGTATAAAGCATGAGAATTACGGCCAACTGCCTCTGATTTTACATGCCAAAGATCTGTGCTATGAAGCTAAGAAACACAACAGATCTTGAAGGAGAAAACATCGGAGGGGATCATCTTTGCTCCTTTACTGTTTTTCAAAGCCCAGCCCAAAGGATTGTTTTCTGATCATTATAAAGGAAATAGCTTGTCATAATAAATTACTCCTGCTTCCTCACCCTCAGAAATTCTTATCTGAATATTTTGTGATGTCTCACACCTGCCTTCTTATTCAGGGGCTCATAGGAGAGAACAGTCTACTTAGTGAGAAAGCTTTGCCTCCAAAAATAAATAAGCAGCTTGTTATGACTGATGTACCCAGGACAAGTCCAAAGATCTGGTCTCTAACTGGGACAGTTTTGTGCTACCTTTGCATTTAGGACATAGCAAGAATAAACGTCACCAACTTCCGTTTCCTTTAGTACTGCTGACAAACTCCAATTATTCTTGTGGCTGTTCACTGTTCCTATCTGTTTGCTGTAATTTGTCTTGGATCCATCATCTACCTCATTGGTTTTTTTAAATGTTGTGACCAGTTCTTCTTGTATCATTCTCAAAAGAGAGCTATCAAAACATTTCTGTCTGCAGTTCTGAGCACTGTGAGCACAATGCAGGTTGGTACCTGATTGGCTTTAGTTCACTGGGCTGATGTTATTCCATGAAAGAAAGTTATTATGGGCTTTAAATTCTCGACTTTGTGGTTTTCTTTCCTTTATTCATAAGTAACGAATACAGAGAAGTAGGTAGACCCCTCGCAGTAACCAGGGAGAAGAGCTAGCTTGCCTTCTAGGTCAAAAGGAAACAGCAACTTTCTTAAGCTGTAGTTCTGCCACTCCTAGGAGAAAAGGATGAAATTTGGGTCTAATTAGGAAAGCAGGCTCATCATAGATAAGAAGATGGCATTTGCAGTGCTGTGCAGAGACAGATGACAACGGAGCAAGTTTACCACAAATTTCCAATCCACTACTTGCTTGTAGGACTTCAGAGATGGCTCTGGGTGATCTATGTGGTGTTCTAAGATGGGGAATGTCAGGTGGATGCTGTATTTTAGAGGATGCTCTAGACATACGTTGATGACTAAGCTCCCGTACTCTGTGCAGTTTCAG